TATCTCTTGCTTTGAAATTTTTCAGGCTAAATCTCCTACATTTATAGTTTTTAGGACACACTTTATATCGTATGCTGAATTTTTTTAGGATGTATCTCTTACATTGAAATTTTTTTAGGATGTATCTCTTACGTTGAGATTTAGCAAGTATTTACTATGTTGATACATATCTCTTCATTTTACATTTTTTTTTGGCTAAATCTCCTACATTTATAGTTTTTAGGACATATATCTTATGCTGAATTTTTTTTTAGGAAGTATCTTTGACATTGAAATATAGAACTTATGTCTTATGTTGACATTTTGTAGGACACATCTCTTAAAAGTCCAATTTTTCAAGTGGTTACAAATAATCTAATGGATACAGGGTGTCTTCATTTCTTCTCTGGGAGTACAGGAATCACTTCCCTCCATCCATGTGACAGCTCTGGCACTTGGTATTTGGCCATTTAGGCAACCAGCACATGGCAGGCGGTGAGAATCATTAGCTTTGCTTTGCTCTACACAGGGTTACATTAGAATTTTTGTTGTCATTCCTCCGCTGAGCCCCCTTCCCGGCCAGGTGAGATTTACAACTTCCAGAATCTTATTCCACAGCAAATTCTGGCAAAAGTCCATAAATACGGCCAAGTATGGGCCACACATGCCTGTATTCTCGCAATGGGGCCTGATTTCTGTCTCGGTTTTTATGTAAGGAGTCTACAACCGGGGATACGATATGTGCAGCACTTACGGGCCTGGAGTAATGAATAATTAAGAGAAGATAGATCTGTGCAAGCATCATACCCAGCCAATGGTGTCATGTTCAACCTGAAGAATCAGGGCAGGGGCTCTGTCCTGCGGAGGGGGGGGAGGTGGAAAGGATACTTACTCATAGCTAACAATTGTCTATGATTTTGAGGAACCATCCTTCTTTTCCAGAATCCCCGTGTCCCTGATTTCTCCACAAATGTCCCTCGTTCTTTAGATCATTTTTGGTTAGGAACTGTCCATGCTGGAACATTCATAAAAATGGCCTAAACACAGGGGACTAACACCAGGGCTGGGACAAGGAATGGGCAGGAGGGGCAGCCGCTCAGGGCACAGTGCTAGGGAGGGCGCCTCTTCACCACATGCAATCCACAAGTCAGTGGTTAGCAACCAGGAGGGCGAAGATTAATGTCCCTCATTTCTCCACAAATGTCTCCACAAATGTCCCTCGTTCTTCAGATCATTCTTGGTTAGGAACTGTCCCTGCTGGACCAAATCCCTCTGTCCCTCTTTTCTCCTGAGTAGTCTTTGTTGTTTGTAGGATTCAGTGGTCTCCAAACTGTGGCCCTAGGGCTGGATGTGGCCCTTTGTGTGTCTTTATCCGGCCCTTGGGACACTGTTCCTCCCACTGATACAAGACACTTTTCTCATTGGTATATTTAGGTTTTGTGCTGCCCTAGGCACACAACAATTGTCTGCCCTCCACGGACACCGACCAAAACCACCCCTTTTCCCCTCCCGTAGAGAGAGCCTGACATTGACCAACAACACCCCTGCACCCCACCTGGGAGAGCCTTCCACTACCCCCCCCCCCCAGTGATAGAGAGAAAAAACACTCATCTTCATCTCTGGACATCCCCGGGAATGAGAGTCAGGCTATATATACACCATTAAGCAGCCCGCAGCCTCTCTTGGATCCCACCTGGTTCCCATGGAGCACGTGGCCCTACTCTCATTCCTTCTTCTGGGGGGAGCTGCTGCCCCACTGAAAAATGCCACCCTGGGCAAGTGCCTTGTTTGCCTCATGGTAAATGTCCCCCTGACTGTTCTACCAAATGACACCAACAATGGGGCACCATTTCTCTGATTGACAGCAGTAATAAGGTGCTCTTCCTCCCAAATGTGGCAATGTTTAATCCCACTGATGCCATGAAAACTTCCACTCCTTCTGGCCACAGTCCGGTCCCCAAAGTTTGAAGGACAATAAACTGGCCCTTTGTTTAGAAAGTTTGGAGACCCCTGGTCTGATGGATATACCTCCATAGAAAATGTATTATTTCACTTCCAAAAGAGTTATACTTCAGTAAACTATCCCACCTCTATCAGCCTTTCACAACCATTTGTAACACCGAGGAACCCTTGATGCAACTTTCCAGTGCCAGGGAAACCCTACTAATAATCACTATATATACAGCTCATGGCACATCAGTGTGATGGTCATGGAGAAGAATCTCCCTTACAGATTGCTAAAAAGGTCATTATTGTCACTGGTTACATATCTGAGAGGCAGACATTTCTCAAGGAACTCCCGGCAACCTCTGTAGGAAGACCACACTCCCATGAAAGATGCCTTTATTGAAGAACATTCATAAAAATGACCTAAACACAGGGGACTGACACCAGGGCTGGGACAAGGAATGGTCTGTCATGGTCAGCCTGAAGAATCAGTGCAGGGTCTCTGTTCTGCGGAGGGGGGAGGTGTTAAGGATACTTCCATATAGCTAGCAATTGTCTCTGATTTTGAGGGACCATCCTTCTTTTCCAAAATCCCTGTGTCCCTCATTTCTCCACAAACGTCCCTTGTTCTTCAGATCATACTTGGTTAGGAACTGTCCCTGCTGGACCAAATCCCTCTGTCCATCTTTTCTCCTCAGTAGTCGTTGTTGTTTGTATGATGCAGTGGTCTCCAAACTGTGGTCCTAGGGCTGGATGTGGCCCTTTGCTTGCCTTTATCCGGCCCTTGGGGCACTGTTCCTCCCACTGATACAAGACACTGTTCTACCAAATGACACCAACAATGGGGCACCATTTTACTCATTGACAGCATTTTACTCATTGACAGCATTTTACTCATTGACTCTTCCTCCCAATGAGAGGGCACATAACTAGCAATTGTCTCTGATTTTGAGGGACCATCCTTCTTTTCCAAAATCCCCGTGTCCCTTATTTCTCCACAAATGTCCCTCATTCTTCAGATCGTTGTTGGTTAGGAACTGTCCATGCTTGAACATAAAAATGACCTAAACACAGGGGACTAACGCCAGGGCCTGAACAAGGAATGGGCAGGAGGGGCAGCCACTCAGGGCGCAGCGGTACGGAGGGCACCGCTTCACCACATGCAATCCTCAAGTCAGTGGCTAGCAACCAGCAGGGCGCAGATCAATGTATACTCTGACAGCTACTGATGCCACAGATGCTCCAATTGCCCATGTTCAATCCCACATGCCCACAGCTAACACACACGAAGAAAAAAAAACACCAGGCGTGTGCAACTACCTTCTATTTGCTAGAATGCATGAGATTTGCCAAATGTGTGGTGAACACTCCATTGCAGCCATGGATAGTTGGTGCAAAGGGGGCTGAGAATGGGATCAGGGTGATGCACCCATGTATGAGGAGTGCGCAGGGGCGGACTGACCATTCGAGCACTCGGGCACTGCCCGAGGGCTCGGGGTCAGTAGAGGGCCCCATGAAATGCCCCTGGTACCTTTTATAGGCTTTTTTGGGTTACTTTGAGTGTGGGCAAGGACACAGGGGCCACATGATCCCCTATTGCCCGGGTACCCCATGAGTTGTCAGTCCGCCCCTGGGAGTGCGGGAGGAGGCTTGGTTCCCCATCCTTGCCCTATACACCGAATAAAGCTGCCCCAGTACTGACTCCCACATTTCGGGCTCCTGAGCGCTTAAAGTGGTTCTGAAGGCTCAAGGTTTTTTACCTTCATAAATTCTATGCATGAAGGTGAAAAAAAGTTCTGTGTGCAGCATGTTTTCCACAGCCTCTGCTGTCTGGGGACTCTTCCTCCTCATTGGCTGAGAAACAGCAGCGGGAGCCATTGGCTGTCAATCACAACGTGTGGGGGGCCAATGAGGAGAGAGCGGGGGGAACGGGGTTGGGCAATGGCTCTATGTGGACGCATAGAGCAGCAGCTCGGGGACGAGCACATAGTGGTGCCCCCAGGCAAGCAAATTTTCCTGAGGGCACTGCTCGAGGGAGGAGGAGCCAGTAGCGTCAGCGTGGACCCAAAAATAAGAGGATTGGGGCTGCTCTGTGCAAATCTACTGCACAGAGCAGGTGAGTATAGACATGTTTGTTATTAAAAAACAAAAAAGAAGCTTTAGCATCTTTATAATCACAGAGCCAGGGCTGCTGGCCCCATACAGCTAACCAAAAGGGCCCACTAAAAAAAAACAGCAAAAAAACCCCACAGTTTACTATGCTTCAATTATGAATGAACACAATGAGTGATTGGCACCAATCACCAGGGCTGCTGTTAGAAACCATGGGGCCTCATACAGCCAACCTGACAGGGCCACCTAAAAAAAAAAAGCACAGTTTACTATGCTTCCGTTATAAATGAACACAGTGAGTGATTGGTACTGATCACTGAACGTAGACTTTTCTCCCTGTGCCTGCGTGGGTTTCTTCCGGGTACTCCAGTTTCCTCCCACACCCCAAGGACATGCTGGGAGGTGAACTGGCTCCTATCTAAGTTGGCCCTAGTATGTGTATGTATGAATGTGAGTTAGGGACCTTAGATTGTACGCTCCTCGGGGGCGGGGACTGATGTGAATGTACAATATATATGTAAAGTGCTGCGTAAATTGATGGCGATATATAAGTACCTGAAATAAATCTTATTTACTTGTTTTAAACTTTTTTTACATTTCTTAAAGCAAATTAAAGCTTGGAGACATGGATGGATGGATGGATGGATGGATGGTTGGGGGAGATTGCTTTCAATATTAACAATGAATGAAATAGCATTTTTGGTTTGTGGTGATCAGATGCCGAGCAGTTCCACTTTAATGAGGTCAAATCGGCACCCGATGTAAACTTTGCTTATACAACAAAAAACAAAAACTGGCCCCTGATTTCGACAATAGCGAACTTTGAAAGGAGCAGGATGGAATTTTTTTTCACTATATCCGCTCTCCCCGGACCCCGCATTCACTGTATCCGCTCTCCCCGGACCCCGCATTCACTATATCCGCTCTCCCCGGACCCCGCATTCACTGTATTCCGCTATCCGCTCTCCCCGGACCCCGCATTCACTATATCCGCTCTCCCCGGACCCCGCATTCACTATGTCCGCTCTCCCCGGACCCCGCATTCACTATATCCGCTCTCCCCGGACCCCGCATTCACTGTATCCGCTCTCCCCGGACCCCGCATTCACTATATCCGCTCTCCCCGGACCCCGCATTCACTGTATCCGCTCTCCCCCGGACCCCGCATTCACTATATCCGCTCTCCCCGGACCCCGCATTCACTATGTCCGCTCTCCCCGGACCCCGCATTCACTATATCCGCTCTCCCCCCGACCCCGCATTCACTATATTCCGCTCTCCCCCCGGACCCCGCATTCACTATATCCGCTCTCCCCGGACCCTGCATTCACTATGTCCGCTCTCCCCGGACCCCGCATTCACTATATCCGCTCTCCCCGGACCCCGCATTCACTATATCCTCTCTCCCCCGGACCCCGCATTCACTATATCCCGCTCTCCCCGGACCCCGCATTCACTATATCCGCTCTCCCCGGACCCCGCATTCCCTATATCAGGTCTCCCCGGACCCTGCATTCACTATATCCGCTCTCCCCGGACCCTGCATTCACTATATCTGATCTCCCCGGACCCTGCATTCACTATATCCGCTCTCCCCGGACCCCCGCATTCACTGTATCCGCTCTCCCCGGACCCCGCAATCACTATATCCGCTCTCCCCCAAAAAGGACCCCGCATTCACTATATCCGCTCTCCCCGGACCCCGCATTCACTATATCCGCTCTCCCCGGACCCCGCAATCACTATATCCGCTCTCCCCCGGACCCCGCATTCACTATATCCGCTCTCCCCGGACCCCGCATTCACTATATCCGCTCTCCCCGGACCCCGCAATCACTATATCCGCTCTCCCCGGACCCCGCATTCACTTTATCTGCTCTCCCCGGACCCCGCATTTACTATATCCGCTCTCCCTGGACCCCGCATTCACTATATCCGCTCCCCCCAGACCCGCATTCACTATATCCGCTCTCCCGGGACCCCGCATTCACTATATCCGCTCTCCCCGGACCCCGCATTCACTATATCCGCTCCCCCCAGACCCGCATTCACTATATCGCTCTCCCGGGACCCCGCATTCACTATATCTGCTCCCCCCGGACCCTGCATTCACTATATCCGCTCTCCCCGGACCCCGCATTCACTATATCCGGTCTCCCAGGACCCCGCATTCACTATATCCGCTCTCCCCGGACCCCGCATTCACTATATCCGCTCTCCCCGGACCCCGCATTCACTATATCCGCTCTCCCCGGACCCAACATTCACTATATCCGCTCTTCCTGGACCCCGCATTTGCTATATCCGCTCTCCCTGGACCCTGCATTCACTATATCCGCTCTCCCCCAGACCCCGCATTCACTATATCCACTCTCTCCGGACCCTGCATTCCCTATATCCGCTCTCCCCGGACCCCGCATTCACTATATCCGCTCTCCCCGGACCCCGCATTCACTATATCCGCTCTCCACGGACCCCGCATTCACTATATCCTCTCTCCCGGACCCCGCATTCACTATATATCCGCTCTCCCCGGACCCCGCATTCACTATATCCACTCTCTCCCCAGACCCCACATTCACTATATCTGGTCTCCCCGGACCCCGCATTCACTATATCCACTCTCCCCAGACCCCGCATTCACTATATCCGCTCTCCCCGGACCCCGCATTCACTATATCTGGTCTCCCCGGACCCCGCATTCACTATATCTGGTCTCCCCTGACCCCGCATTCACTATATCCGCTCTCCCCGGACCCCGCATTCACTATATCCACTCTCCCCAGACCCCACACATTCACTATATCTGGTCTCCCCGGACCCCGCATTCACTATATCCACTCTCCCCAGACCCCCGCATTCACTATATCCGCTCTCCCCGGACCCCGCATTCACTATATCTGGTCTCCCCGGACCCCATTCACTATATCTGGTCTCCCCTGACCCTGCATTCACTATATCCGCTCTCCTCCGGACCCCGCATTCACTATATCTGGTCTCCCCGGACCCCGCATTCACTATATCCGCTCTCCCCGGACCCCGCATTCACTATATCCGGTCTCCCCGGACCCCACATTCACTATATCCGCTCTCCCCGGACCCCCCCCCCCGGGGACAATAAAAGAAGGGGGAGGATCAGAGAAGTCAGTGTATTTACACAATGTGGAGGATTAACCCCTTAGGTTCCACAGTGAGTATAACAAGCATGCTTTGCTGCATCTACAGACTGATTGTACTGCTGGGGGTTTAGTAACACTTTAATATCTGCCTGAGACGCACCAATCACACACAGCAGGGAGTCTGCAACACACAAGGGAGTATTACCTGGATACAGCAAGGCTTCTGTGGCGTGCAAACGGTTAACCTCAGTTTGAGGCATTGACGTGGGGGGGGGGGAGCAAGGGTTAATCTCATTGACATGGGGGGGGGAGCAAGGGTTAATCTCTTCTTCTTGCTCCTTAAATGGGAAGATGAATGGAGGAGGCATTAGTTGGATGAGCTAGGCATCTGGCTGCCAAGGATGTATTGCAGCCCCTTGTGTGAAGGCAGACGCGTGGTGTCTGGCACATGGGGGTTAACATATGATTGCACCATATCACTGGAATACAAATGGCTCCATGTGTGGGGTAAAAATGCACATTAGGAGGAAGCAAGTAGCCTGTGGTACACAAGATGTTAACTCCAGCTTTCAGTGTAAAAGGGGTATTGGCAAGGAATTGTGTACGGTGTAAGGGGTTCATGTAGCAGGGCAGTTAGAGGTTAAAAGGTGCCCATAGCATACAAGAGGTGACATTGGGGGAGGTTTACTAAAACTGGAGCGCTCAGAATCCGGTGCAGCTGTGCATGGGAGCAGGGGCGGACTGACCAATGCCCGGGGTCAGTAGGGGGCCCCATGAGATGCCCCTGGTACCTTTCATAGGCTTTTGTGGGTTTGGTTTGAGTGTGGGCAAGGACACAGGGGCCCCATGATCCCCTATTGCCCGGGGGCCCCATGAGTTGTCAATCCGCCCCTATTTGGAGCCAATCAGCTTCTAACCTCAGCTTCTTCAATTAAAGGATAAGTTCACCTTTTGAACAAAAATAATAAATGCACATTTTTTTTGCAGGTAAAAAAATATGCATTTATTATTTTTGGCTGCAGGAGTCTGGACAGAATTGCACCAGCGAGCAGTAGATCCCTGGTACCATGCAGGTCTCCTGCAGATCTGTCAGAATGTCTGCTTGCCGTATGGGATGTACAAGATATATGGGATGTACTGGATGTACAGGATATACGGGATGTACGAGATGTACTGGATGTATGGGATGTACAGGGTGTATGGGATGTATGGGGTGTACGAGGTGTACGGATGTATGGGATTTACAGGGTGTACGGGATTTATGGGATGTACAGGGCCTACGGGGTGTATGGGATGTAAGGGATGCATGGGGTGTACAAGATGTACGGGGTGTATGAGATGTAAGGGGTGCACAAGGTGTACAGGGTGTATGGGATGTACGGGGTGTATGGGATGTACGGGGTGTATGGGATGTACAGGGTCCATGAGATGTAAGGAGTGCATGGGGTGTACGAGATGTATGGGATGTACAGGATGTATGGGATGTACGGGGTGCACAAGGTGTACGGGGTGTATGAGATGTATGGGGTGTATGGGATGTAGAGGGTCCACGGGATGTACAGTGTGTATAGGGTGTATGGGGTGTATGGGGTGTACGAGGTGTATGGGGTGTGAGAGGTGTACAGGATGTGAGGGGTGTATGGAATGTACAGGATGTACGGGGTGTACAGGATGCATGGGATGTACGGGATGTATGGGGTGTACAGGATGCATGGGATGTACGGGATGTATGGGGTGTAAGAGATGTATGGGGTTGTATGGAATGTACGGGGTGTACGAGGTGTATGGGATGTACTAGATGTAGGGGGTGTACGGAATGTATGGCCAAGCAGATATTCTGACAGAAAGCTTCAATGAACTACTACGGTGCTCCACAGCACCATGATAGCTCATTAAACACTAAAAGCTGATGCCCGCTAAGGCTGCCGGGACTTGCAGTTCATTCATTCATGGAAGTCCTTGAATAAATGACGCAGCCATGTGGGCGGAGCTCCACACGGCTGCGCTCTTTTCAAATCTGACAGATAGTGCGACATGTTCCCAAAGATTAACTTATCTTTTAAACTTTGGCAATAAATCCTGGAAGCTGATTGGTTTGTCTGCAGAGCTGAACAAGATTTTGCACTCTCCAGTTTTAGTAAATGACCCCCAATATGTTGGGTAGGAAGGGGATGGGGGTTGTGGCTTTGGAAGGGTTCCAGTATGAGTGGGGGAGGGTGTTTGTGGCACATGGTGGGTTGATGTGCAGATAGTACGGTATCTGGGGCATAGAAGAGACTGATGTGTGTTAGGCGGGGAGGGCAGAGTACATGTGGCCTGCAATGGCACATTCGTCAGGGTTGGCATCCATGGCATACAAGAGGATAATCCTGCAAATTAGGTCAAGGAGGTTGAGGTGTTTGTGGCACACAAAGGGTTAATGCGGCACATTAGTCAGAGATGGAGAGGTGCATGTGATGCACACAAAGGGTTAATGCAACACATTAGGTAAAGGTGGGGAGGGTGCATGTAACACACAAGGGGTTAATTTGCTGCATTAGGCAGAAATGGTGACTTATCTTGTGGCACACGAGGGGTTAATGCAGCACATTAGGCAGAAACAGCCAGGTGACTGTGGCACCCAAGGGGGTTAACTTGGTACATTAGGCAGAGTTGGTGAGGTGACCATGGTGCATAAGAGGTTAACGCAGAACATTAGGCAGAGACAGCGGGGTGTCTGTGGTATGCAAGAGGTTAACCTTGCACATTAGCCAGAGATGGTGAAGTGTCCATGACACACAAGGGGTTAACTCAGCTCATTAGGCAGAGATAGCAAGGTGTTTATGGCACACAAGGGGTTAATGCTGTGGATTGGGAAGAGACAGCAGGGTGTCCTTGGCTCACCAAGGGTTAAAGCAGCCAATTAGGCAGAGATAGCAAAGTGTCTGTGGCACATGAGGGGTTAAGGCAGTACATTCGGCAGAGACGGCGGGGTGTTAAGGCAGCACATTATCCAGAGATGGTGAAGTGTCCATGACACACAAGGGGTTAACTCAGCTCATTAGGCAGAGATGGCAAGGTGTTTATGGCACACGAGGGGTTAAGGCAGCACATTAGGCAAAGACGGCGAGGTGTCTGTGGCACATGAGGGGTTAAGGCAACACATTCGGCAGAGACGGCGAGGTGTTAGTGGCACACGAGGGGTTAATGCAGCACATTCGGCAGAGACAGTGAGGTGTCAGTGGCACAAGGGGGGTTAAGGCAGCGCATTAGGCAGAGACGGCGAGGTGTCTGTGGCACATGAGGGGTTAAGGCAGCGCATTAGGCAGAGACAGCGAGGTGTTTGCTGCACACGAGGGGTTAAGGCAGTGCATTCGGCAGATACGGCGAGGTGTCTGCAGCACATGAGGGGTTAAGGCAGCGCATTAGGCAGAGACAGCGAGGTGTTTGCTGCACACGAGGGGTTAAGGCAGCGCATTCGGCAGATACGGCGAGGTGTCTGCAGCACACGAGGGGTTAAGGCAGCGCATTCGGCAGAGATGGCTAGGTGTCTGTGGCACACGAGGGTTAAGGCAGCACATTCGGCAGAGACGGCAAGGTGTCTGTGGCACATGAGGGTTAAGGCAGCACATTCGGCAGAGAGACGGCGAGGTGCTGCGACACACGAGGGGTTAAGGCAGCAGAGATGGCGATGTGTCTGCGGCATATGAGGGGTCAAGGCAGCGCATTTGGCAGAGACAGTGAGGTATCTGCAGCACATGAGGGGTTAAGGCAGCACATTCGGCAAAGACGGCAAGGTGTCTGCTGCACATGAGGGGTGAAGGCGGCAGAGACAGCGAGGTGTCTGCGGCACACAAGGGGTTAAGGCAGCGCATTCGACAGAGACAGTGAGGTATCTGCGGCACATGAGGGGTTAAGGCAGCACATTCGGCAGAGACGGCGAGGTGTCTGCGGCACACGAGGGGTTAAGGGAGCACATTCGGCAAAGACGGCGAGGTGTCTGCGGCACACGTAGGGTTAAGGCAGCACATTTGGCAGAGACGGCGAGGTGTCTGCGGCACACGAAGGGTTAAGGCAGCACATTCAGAAGAGACGGCGAGGTGTCTGCTGTACACGAGGGGTTAAGGCAGCACATTTGGCAGAGACGGCGAGGTGTCTGCGGCACACGAGGGGTTAAGGCAGCAC